TCTTCTGAATCACTTCATATTGCTGTTTATCCCAAAAAACTTGGAAACAGACCACTGAGAGGTTTCCTGCCAGGAGGTTTATTACTGGACAAGTTCTGACTGCAGCAGGATTTCATTAGAAAAAATCTCTTTATTCTTTTGATGAGTTGCAAAACATCCCAATATCCGAAATATATTTTTAAATACTTTTTTGGGAAAGCACAAATTAATATTTCCAGAAAAACAAATAGGTACAATATAGGTGGTACTTTGCTCAATAGTAGTAACCATGAGAAGGACCTCGGAGTCCTAGTGGACAATCACTTAAATATGAGCCAGTAGTGTGCTGCAGCTGCCTAAAAAGCCAACACAGTGCTAGGCTGCATTAACAGAGGGATAGAATCAAGATCATGTGAAGTGTTAACGCCACTTTATAATGCTTTGGTAAGGCCACACTTAGAATACTGCATCCAGTTTTGGTCACCACGATGTAAAAAAAGATGTTGAGACTCTAGAAAGACTACAGAGAAGAGCAACAAAGAAGATTAGGGGACTGGAGGTTAAAACATATAAGGAACGGTTGCTGGAACTGGTATGTCTAGTTTAATGAAGAGAAGGATGAGGGGTGACATGATAGCAGTGTTCCAATATCTCAGGAGTTGCCACAAAGAAAAGGGAATCAAGCTATTCTCCAAAGAACCTGAAGGTAAGACAAGAAGCAACGGATGGAAACTAACCAAAGAGACAACCTAGAACTAAGGAGAAATTTCCTGACAGTTAGAACAATTAACCAATGGAACAACATGCCTCCAGAAGCTGTGAATGTCCCAACATTGGAAATTTTTAAGAAGAAACTGGATAGCCATTTGTCTAAAATGGTCTAGGGTTTCCTGCCTGAGCAGGGTGTTGGACTAGATGACCTCCAAGGTCCCTTCCAACTTTACTATTACTATTTCATGCAGTATATTTTAAATCTGAATCTATAAATCTAAATCTAAATCTAAATCTGCAGTTCTCCCATCCTCTTACATAGATCAGTGAGAACATCAAAATATTATGGGCAAAAGGCATGGCTGTCTCCCTATTATTCCCTGCTATGTTGTTACTACTATTACTTTTTAGAATCAGAACATTATTCCACAACTCTTGTATTTATTTGTTAAACATAATTAAGAATGCAGCCTTTTTCAGGAATACTTATTAAAAGAATTTTTTGGTTTCCATTAAAATATAAAAACTATTTTACTTTATATATCCTGTTTCTATTAGCAAAGCTCCACTACCTTTTTTAGAACAGACTCTCTGCTTTACCTTCTGCTTTTACTGAGGGGAGGAGCTCAAAAAAGTCAAGGTGGCAACTTCAAGCATGTTGTAGCTGCCATCTTGGCTTTTTAATGCCTCTTCCCTGACAAATACTTGTTACCCAGCTTCTCCCAAAGAAGAAGCAAAACAAAGCAAAGCAGCAATGTAACCAAAGCCAGCAGTTGATTAGCCTGCATCTCTATGCCCATTGGTTGGCCAGAAGGTGAAGGCTCATGCAACCTTTTTGAATCCCTGATTAGTCCATGGACATACAGCAGAATCTATTAGGGCTACTAATGCTGTTCCTCCCTTCATTTTGAAATTGCTTCCTAGGAATAATTTCATTAGATAGGGGAAAAAAAAGACCTCTGCCCCTAAAGAAACTAAAGACAAGATTGACCACCCTGTTGGGCAGGGCCCATTCTAATTGATCAGTCCATACTGTTTTCTGCTCTTTCAGACTTTTTATTATGCATACTGCTGAATTTTAGAACATGCCTAACTTGACCAATCTATTTCTTTTTAAAATGGCTACTTCTTTAATTTTCAAAGGCATCTTCTTCAGTTTGGCCTCTAAATACTATTGAGCATAATTAGCCTATGAGTGGACCTCAATTGATGGTTATTTTTGTAGAAATATAGTGGATTTTTGTTACTTTTCAAAATCACATTCTTTCATCACCATTTCTTCTTCCTAGTTCTTTTCTATACAATAATAATAAAATAATAAGAGAAGGGTTTCAACCAGTTAAAATCTTCCAGCTACATCAAATGTTATTGAGTCACATATCATTACTCAGTTCATTCTTGTTTAACCTCTCAAGGTTGCTATAAAGATTAAATAAATGCGAACAGTACCCTAAAATCTTTTGTAAATCAATTGTTCATAATATCTTTGTACTGTAAGACAGCAACAAGGTTGAAAAGTTAGAAGTTTGGCATAACTACCATATGTATCCCACTGTCCCCTTTGCTCCAGCTGAACAATGGACCTTCATTTTGATTTTCAGGCTGTGCTTTGCCAGTTTCCTGTTCCCACTGATCATTCGCAGGGAATCTATAAAAATGGCCAACAGGAAATCATCTGCATCCTCCTTTTGGATTATCAAAAACCAGTGTGTAATATTAATTCAGGTAAGCCTGTTTGTTGATAGTCTAAGTGTGATGAATAAATAAATAACAAGATGATCTGATGTCTTTCATTTTGGGCTATTCACATATTTTATAAGCTACTGTGGAAAAAAATAGATTATTTTACTATGTACAACTAACTGAACACGATAACATTTAGATATTGTTTCCTCATATAAACAAAACTCAGTTTTTCTATATAGAGAATAGAAGGTTGTAGTAAATTTCCAAACTTTGCTGAATGTGTAGATAAGAAAGAAAAGGAAAGAAAGGCATCATTCCACCCATCCCTCTGCCAGTCTAAATACAATTAAATGCCATTTTCTTTGACTTGGAGCTCTGCTTTTCAATTTTTAAAAATATTTACTTGAAAGTAAGTAAAACTGAGTTCAGTGGGGTTTATTCCCAGGTGAAGTAAGCCTAAGGTTCCAATTTTAATTTTTTATTTAATTTATTAATTTATTAAAATATTTTTTAAATTTTCCTATATTAAATGTTGGTGTATAGTTTTTGAGATGTCACATGTAATCTTACTTGCTTAGAAATCTTTAGATAAAACATTCAAACTTTTGCTTCATTTATATAATTTTATGGAGTGTCAAGATATTGTTATGTTTAATTTCTAACAGACTCTAATCTCAATTAGTTTAGGAGAGAAAAAAAGAATAATTGTAATGTAAGTTGGATTGGCAGCATTAGGACCATCTTCCCAAAGAATCTTTTATCCTTTCTACAGACAATTTTTTTATTTTCACGTGTAAAATTTAAGAAATATGTTGCATAGAAAAAATGGAGGACTTTTAAGCAAACAGCTTCTTTACTGAGTATAAAAAAGAATGAATGGAATGGACATACTGATTTATTTTCATGAAATATTTTCATATTTCCAGGCAGAAATATGCCAATTATGTCTTTAAGTACAATGGCTAAAACCCTATTTATCTCAAAAGGTGGTACTCTACTAGAATGTTTTGATAGCACAATAATGTTTAAAATTTCACTGAAGTTCAGTTCTGAAAATCATATAAAATGAACAGTACTTGCCCACATGCTTTGTACATGCTTTTCAAATAATAAAAACAAAATGAATGCAATTAGTGATTCAACAGCAATAACAACACTTGAAATATATGTTGTAATCTATAATAACTTTGATCAGGTATATTAGCATAAATGTGAAATTGTGTTGTTGTATAAAGCATGCAATTTATATGCCTAACACTTGTAGAAATTTACAAGGATTATCAAAATGATGATAGTCATTTTTTGGCTCTTATCAGTATAATACAATTGAAGTAATATAAACTCATGCTATAATCTATCATTAAACACCTAACTGAACAAAAATGTACTATTTAATGAGGATCTTCCTCCCTCCCTCCCTCCCTCCGTCTTTTTTTCTCTCTCTTTTCTTTCTTTCTTTCTTTCTTTCTTTCTTTCTTTCTTTCTTTCTTTCTTTCTTTCTTTCTTTCTTTCTTTCTTTCTTTCTTTCTTTCTTTTCCCATATCAACAAGTAACAAAATTAAAATAGCATAAAATAATAAGATTGTGGAAATGGACGTGTGCAATCAATAAATGATAAGAACTTGGATTAGGATTGCAGGGCAGTAACAGGAGCTATTATTACGGGTGTGCTTTTTTACTTCATTGTTGTTTTTCCTTCAGTAGAAGTTCTATCAGCTGGGGAGAGTTGTTCTGGTCTTTGAAGCTAGCTCTTGTTTCTCTGAAGTCAGATTCCTTATTCCCAGGACCCCACTCTGCAGTGCCAGCACAAACATACATCAGCAGCTGCACACCACTTTCAAAAGTTAGCGAGGAACTATCAAGCAATTACTTATCCCACTTTAGATCCAAGTCTGTGATTTTATGTTACGGATCTAAGATTTAAGGAATGAAAAAAATCAAAGACAATAAGTAAAGTCAACAAATGCAGAAAAAAAATTCATACCTGCATTTAATTGGAAATATCATATTCTGTAGATGAGTAATGCTAGCAGGATAACCTCAATTAAAAGTTTGGATTAGATGTTTGGATCTTAATCTACAGCTGGATTGGATCCAAATTTCATTATGCTTCCAAAATAGACTGCCAGGATTTCAGATTCAATATCCAGCTTAACTCTAAGTATGATTGAATTGAGATTCATCTTATTTCGCCTTATAGAAATTCATTCTATCTATCCAAGTTAATTCACAAATATTCCAAGTGCCATGGGCACTTTCACATCTATTAGCTTTTTAGTCTTCATCTTAGCTACTTATGCTAAGTGTGAAAGTTGTTAATATTTCCCTCCACACCACTATACCAGTGCAGAACTATATATATACCCCACACCACTATACCAGTGCAGAACTATATACATATCATCCATATACATACATACATACATACATACACACACACACACACACACACACACACACACACACACACACACACACACACATATATATATATATATATATATATATATATATATATATATATATATATATATGTAAGAAATGCCTTGGAGTGCAATGGGTCTTATGCCCACTTGTGTAATGCTGGATTGTTTTCCCTAAAATAAAATGGCATAGAATTGTAGACTTAAAGTCAAACATATTCTGTTCAACTTATTTTTTATATTTGCATTACAGATCAGCTGAAATAAAAATCAGTCTACAGTTCATGGGTGAAATAATCTTTTGACAATGTGAGTTATCAATACAAGCTGAATATTCCACGGTGACATGTGAACTCAAGAAAAGAACATGAGCAGCCATTCATTCTTAATTATATGTACATGAAAGATGTTACAAGATTTTTTTTTCATTAACTGTACATTTCTGGCTGCTTTACTAATTTATTTTAACAAGGAAAGTGAGACTTGAGGAATGCACATAAAAAGTCTGATAAATTGCAGGTGTTAATTATGGCTGCTGCAAGAGGGAGATTATGGTAAAGTCTCCCTTAAATTGAGCTTCATTTTAATTTCATGGGGAAATTCATGTAGTTTTCTTGGCAACAAGACCATGACCTTCTTCTGACATACTTTCTGACTTTCTATTTTTCTCTAAAGTCCTGAGATTCAATGGCATTCTCCTTTCCAAATATTAAGCAGGTCCAGTTCTGCTTATCTTTTGAGCCCAGACAAAGTTGGCCAGATGCTGTACCTGCTGAGAGTCCATGAAGGAAGGTGAATTAAAAATGTAAGACATAAAGTATATAAATAATAGACTTGGGGACCAACACCTTGAATTGCGTCCGGAATTGTATAAGAATAATTATGAAAGGCTGTGGGTCAGGGTACAGAAAGACTTGAAGAATTGGGAGAAGTTACAGTTATCTCTTATGGGAAGAATTGCAGTGATTAAAATGAATGTCCTACCAAAATTTCTCTTTTTGTTTCAAATGTTACCTATTTTAAAGAATGAGGTTAATTTAAATGAATGGCAGAAAGGCATTAATAAATTTATTTGGGCAGGGAAAAAACCAAGGGTAAAGCTTAAAATTATGCAAGACTTCCGTGAGAGAGGTGGACTCAAGGTACCGAATTTGAAATTATATTATGATGCTGTGGTTTTAACATTAATTAGTGATTGGGTAAATTTAACAAATGTAGAAATACTCCATCTGGAGGGTTGGGATTTACTTTTTGGATGGCATGCCTATTTAATTTTTAATAAAAAAGTGGATCGGGTTTTTAAATCTCATATTATAAGGATTTCTCTACTTCGGGTTTGGAGGAAATATTATAAAAGTGATTTTAAAATACCATTATGGGCTATACCTTGGCATGCGATAGAGGGGATAAGGAGAGGAGTTAAAATGGATAGGGTCTCTTATGCACAATTACTCAGATGGGATGGCCAAAATTGACAGTTAAAATCTTTGGAAGATTTATTACATGAAAATATTACCTATTCATGGTTTCAATATAGACAAATAGTGGATAGATGGAAGATGGATCGTAATATGGGCTTGCTTAGAGAAGATGAAAATCTTTTTAAACAAGTAAAGGATCAAAGACGAACTCACATTAAGAGAATTTACGGGGTTCTAGTGGAACTGGATTCAGAATCAGAATTAATCAAAGACTGTATGATTAAATGGGCACAAAATTTTGGTGAACCAGTTCTACTGGATACCTGGGAAACTATCTGGGTGAGGAATGTCAAATTTACACAAGCCCAGAACTTAAGGGAGAATTTTTATAAAATGTTTTATACATGGCACCTTGATCCACAAAAAATGTCTCTTATGTATCCTGACTTACAGCCTAAATGTTGGAGATGTGGTTGCCTCGACGCCACTTATTATCATATTTGGTGGTCGTGTAAAAATATAAAAGCTTTTTGGATTAAGATATGGTGGAATATTCAAAGAATTTTTAGAAAGAGGGTAAAATTTACTCCACAATTGTTTTTGTTAGGTATTGTTACTGATTGTGATGCTAAGGAGGTTATATTGATGTTGAATTTGATTACAGCCGCAAGGCTGTTAGTAGGGCAATATTGGAAGAAGGAATCTTTGCCTACCTTGCAAGAGTGGCTTTTTAAAGTTTCTTATCTGGCGGAAATGGCAAAGATTTCGGCTTTCTTAAAGGAGCAATCGCAAGAGAAATTTTTTGCCGTATGGGAAAAATGGATAAATTTCACACAATACAAATTGGATATAAAAAAATATCATTTAGCTTTTTTATAACTTGTATATAAACTTTGATATTTTATAGATTGCACTTTTTCTCTTTTTTCTTTTTTTTATCTCTTTTCTTCTTTCTTTTTTCTTCTTTTTTAAGTACTTTTTCTTTTTAATGCTTATGTTTTTTTTGTTATATATATCTTATTGTTAATTATTTTATAACTTGTTTAACTTTTTTTGAGGATTTTTAAAATTTTAATTAAGCCTATATTTAGCTCTGGGAAGTTCGGGGGGGATGGAGGGGGTGGTTTGGGAGGGGTTGGGTGAGGGTTGTTTTGTTTTTTTGTTGTTGTCTTTTCTGTTTTTTGTAAAAACTTCTAAAAATTTTCAATAAAAAAAAAATAATAGACTTGGGAAGCTTTCCAGAAAAGCTTCTTTAAAACTACCTTCTTTGTCATTTTGTCTGGTCAGTAGCAGTATGGAAGACACTAAAAATGGCACTTCTTGGGTTTGGTTCAGAGAAAGCCAAAGATTTCAAGCATCACCGACAGGATGCCTCAGTACTGTCATTGATTAAGACTGTCCACTGTCTACGGCGACCCAAGAATAATTGCAGTTATGAACCAAAACGTGTAAGCATGGAAAGTCTGAAAATGTTTCAGAGGTGTTTGATTAAGAATCCAATTTTAAGTATTAGTATTACAAGTGAAAGTAAGACAGAAGCATTATGTTAATATTATTTTCTAAGTGACATTTTCCCAATCTAAAGATGGCCTATATGGTGCTTCATTTTTAAAGTATCAGTGTACATAATAGGACTGGCAGGATTTCAGATTCAATATTCAAAATGTGATCCGGAGCTTTAAAGTGCTCTGGACATTTCTAGGGCAGATTAATAAAAAAAAATATGATAAAGACAAAAGGAAAAGCAAAGAGTTCTTCATTTAGTGTTGATGTGAAGTTCACTTTTAAAAAAATGAAGCAAAGAAAAAGTGGGTATAGAACTTCCAAAATAGACTCAACACATCCTATATAGGGATGTCTGGTGTGTTTAAAAAATTGTGATGACTGTGATTATAAGATCAAAAGCCCAATCTCTTTTTTTAATATGTCATATATTTATTACAGATAAAAAGAGGCATGGCTTTGATTGTGTGGCTGAAGCCACTTTTGCATCTTGAGAGTTTTGGCTGTCCCCTCTGCAGATATTCCAACCCTCAAAAGTAACAGTATCACAAAAAGAATCCTCCTCAGTTCTCAGAATTACGTGAAAAATCCTTGCACTGCCTAAGTTTATGAGGGCACTGTGTCACTGCCATTTCTAAAGCTCCTTTTGGTTGCTGATAACATTTAATAAAAAGCAAGTAGGCTTTGGCTGCTGCAAAGTTGGCCACATCTGATTTAGTTGGGCATTTCATGTGCTACTTCTTTTAAAACCTGCAAAAGTACACAAGATGAAGATGGAGAATTCTTTTCTCTTGTGGTGTGATTGATAGAAGTACTGGAAGACTTTTTTTTAAAGACACTGGTTTAAAGAGAAAAATATTGCAGGAAAGTATGATGTTATAACGTGAGCCTAATGCACTGCATGCTTAGTTCTAGGCAGAATCATTCCCTCAATTCTTCTGACATTTTCCACTACCATGTCTTAAAAAATGCACATTGGAACTGACAATTATCCTCTTCATTGTAGAGACTTTTTCAGCCAGTGAATTATAAGTGTTTGACTCAGTATATTTATTTGGTGAGTTGAAAAGATTTGGCACAATGATTTTTTAAAAGTCCAATTATTCAATTATGGTCACATATCAGGATCAGGTTGCTATACTTGGAAAAATGGCAAGATATTTGTCTGTCTATCACCTCTCTCTCTCTCTCTCTCTCTCTCTCTCTCTCTCTCTCTCTCTCTCTCTCTCTCTCTCTCTCTCTCTCTCTCTCTCTCTCTCATCTGTCTATAGTATCTAGATTTATTCTCTGAAAATTGGATCCATTTATTGCACATTCTCTTTCTCTTATGGCTATAAAAGCATATGTGCCATAGAGTACATCTGTATCTATTTCTACATAATCAGGGTGGAAAATAATTGAAGGCTTATGAGAATCATGTAAAAATTGTGCCATTTGCTGCCTATCAGATGCTTTTCAGTAAAATTACACTGCATTTCAAAACTGCAATATATATTATCCAGACACCAAAAATCAGAATATGAACAAGCTTTATCATCCATTACTGAATAATTACTTATTGTACCAATGTTCTGCCCATCTCATCAGCTTTGCTGGAGACAGGCAATGGTTCATCATAACTTGGCACTTCATTAAAAGCATTTTTACAGGGTCAGATAATTACTGTCTTATCATATCGTGGGGATGCAAATATTGATAAACACCTTGAATAACTGGGTAGCAATTAAAAAATAGATAGAAAACTACTGAATATATGACATAGAAAAATCAAAATATAGAGTTGATTCACATATACTTTGACATTAGTTTTAGCAGTTAGTTTGTAAATAGCTTCAGTTGATATGCTGGCTGGGGTCACAAACTATCCTAGGCTGTAATATGATTTGTTTCATATTAGCTTTGTGTAATATATTAACTCAGTCTCTATGCACCATAAATTATTGTTATAGCATGTAAATATTCTGATAAAAAGTTATGACTAAAATAAGACACAATTTAGCATGAGAATGTAGCTATTATGTTGGAGGCTGAATTTATGCAAACCTAACTATCATGTTGGAAATGCTCAAACTCTACCTGTGGTGGGTGATCTCTTTTTAGCATAGAAGACAGTGTATATTTATGCATGCCTCTTATTCCAAAGATTTGGAATATTTAGTAGCGAAAAGAATGGAGTCCCTATATATAATCCAAAATCCCATCTCTGATTTCTTCTGAATTTAATCATACTGTGCCTCTTGTAACTTTCTAACTAAATTTTATCATATAAGGTACCAGTTTACCCTTGTGAAGAAAATGAATAAAATGAATAGATGTGTACATATAGCATGAGTGAACGAAACAGTACTAGGCACAGAGACCTCAATAGGATACAATATCGGGCAGAGAGTTAATGTTATCATGAAAGACTGGAGGCCAATCCCCTGTAATTTTAGTACTCACTAGTAATCTTTATTGTATTATACTTATTAAAGTGACAATAAGAGATAGAACTGGAATGGAATGCTCACAAACCTTTCAGTTTCTTAATAAAAAAAGCTGTTGGGAGACCTTCAGTACAATTAGTAGATGAAAAATAAATGTGTCAGTTTGATTAGAACAAAAACTTGCTTAAAAAAAAGAACTTTTGTAAATCAGAGAAACAGAAGTAATTGGTGGAATCAAGGAAGTAAGGCAGGAGGGAAAAAAAGACTTGCTAACTTTACACTCTGGATCGTCTTGAAGATTCTTATAGACATGTCACTGTGCTATTCAGGTTACTCCAGATCTGTGTCAGTTCTCAGACATGGCTGTCACCATGCCTCATATATCTGTACAGGACAGAAGAGATCTCGCTCTTCTCCCCAAGCTTCCTGTTTCTGCAGATTAGGATGAGTTCTGGAATCCCAGAGTGTTACCAATAGAGAAAGCATTTTCCAAGTCTAATGGGTCACTATATAGTTGGGTGGCTATATAAATTGAATGAATGAATAATAAATAAATAAAATAAAATAAATTACCTGATATCAGTGAATTTAATGCATTGTTACCCTAAAGACATAAGATGAACCTAGCAGTAGAAGCAAGCAGAGGATGAATTGCAGATGGTACTTTGAAATAATAAGATTGTTCTTTGTTATTTGGCTTCTAATATTTTTTAAAGATGCACAAAATATTTATGTATGCCATATTAAAATAGCCAATATAACATGAATTGTATCTTACAAATCTTGTAAGCTTAACCTTTCTTTTTTTTTCTTTTTTTGCTTTTCATATATCATTGCAATTAGCCCCAGTAGGATGCTTTTTGAACTGATTTTGAAGGATGACATCAGGCAATAGCTTTTCAGAATTGTGCTCCCCCCCCTTTTTTTTTTTGCTAGTTCTAATTCTGTTTCATGAAAGAGAGTTTGTTTTCAAAATTTGTTTCAGAGGAGAATTCAGGGAACTTTAACATAGGAGGATTCTCATATATTCGATTTACTTTCAAAGGTAGTGTAGGAATAACCCTTTAGCAGACCATCTTCTGGCTAACACTATGCAGCTTCCCTGATTTCATTTCCTATAAGTCTAAGACATTGCGATCAACTCCTTCCATTGGACTTTTTCAGATCTGAAAGCAGTCAGTAGGAAGGTTTCAGAATGATAGAATGATGGCTGATAAAAAGCCGAAATGCCAGCAACAACAGTCAATAAAAAAATTCAAAATGTTTTGAGAAGTCAGAAGAAATGTGAAAGGAAAATTAGAGGTCTTAAAAATATGTTATAAAATCAGAAGCTTGATTTACAGAGCTAATTTTATTTTACAGAATAAAAATCTTGAGAAATTGCAAGGTACACTGGCATAATATTTCTTGTGAATGCATGTTTCTAGTTGGATGCACTATTTCTCCATAAAGGAGTGCATACCTTCAGCTTAACATTGTTTTAAATAATATTCTTTAAAGGGATACATAAAGGCTAGCTCTTTAAATATTATTACTTGTCGTAACTCTTGAATTTTAAAATAGAGCCCCAAATATATTGCCTTTTTCATTTATACTAGATTTATGTATTGTAGTAAATAACAGAGTCAGCTCCATTTATGGACACCGGGTTTCTTGCCACCTAACACTCTTGCTTGGTTATTTTAATTAAAGACGAAAAAACATTGGGAAATTGATAAGTTATTCATAGTAGTCCTTTTATGTAGTGCCTTTGAGATGCTCTTAAAATTTCAAATATGCCCATTTGACAAGGGAAATCCTAGGTCAGGCTCAAACAATGTTTGAAGAATTGGGGATTCGAACCCAGCCTCCTGATGTTTTGAAGGGCCACAGGAAGCCCTGGAGTGACATCATTCAATGAGATGGGATTAAAAAAAAAAGCTTGGTTCCTTTTGGGGGAGGTTTTAAGGCCCCTCAGAAGAATAGCTGCCCTCTTTTCTACTCTTGTAATCAGTGCTTTTTTTCTAAAAAAAAAAAAAAAAAAAGGTGCTGGAACTCACACATGTCATACAACCCGCCTTACCTACCCTACAAGTTTCCATCCAAAAGAGATGCTGGAACTCCGTTCTGGGAGTTCTATGAGAAAAAAAGCCCTGCTTGTAATTATCTAGTAATAAAATAAATGGAATGAAATTATGTTGACAAATTCTAGGCACTTTGCTGAGGTCTTTGGTAGCATGGTCTCAAAATGTTCAGAGACTATATTCTGTAACATAGCCATATGTTCTTTTAAATATAGTTTGGAAAACACTACAATGTTCTGAAAAGTTAAATTGGATTTTTTAAAAATGCTGATGAATCCATAGGGTTAATATCTGTTCATTTTTTCTTTTTCTATACACTAGAGCCGCAGTTACTAAAAGGAGTTCCATAATCTTTTCCCAGGCACTTGGATAAAGTTTCCTGTTTTCCATAACAACAACAATTAGAAATTGAAGCTGGTACACACCATGGAAAATACACAAGGGTCAGAATCAGCTGATCCAAGGTATGATATATTCAACTGAAAAACAAACAAGGGGGAATGGAAGCGGAGTCTGGTGTATAAAGGAAGACTGCTCGAGGCCAAGAGCTCTGGATAGTAAAGCCAATAAGATATCCAAACCACCCAATAGGACTATATTCTATCTCCTGAACAAATAAATATTGAAAAAAATGTTTATCTGTTTCTTTTTAGCAGTGGAAAGAGTTTCCAGCATGTATACATTAAGAGAGGATGTATAGTTGTTTCACAGCACTTACAGTAAGACAAATATGAATAAAGGTGGGGGTGGACTTTGGAGGAGGGAAGATTTGGGACTGATACTTTAGCAAAAACATGCTTTAGTTACAGGGGGTCTTGCCTGGGCTATAACGTACCATGTCCCACATGCTGATTACTTGAACAGACTTGCTGCCAAAATAAATTTTCTTTGGACTCTGGAGTTTATGGGATCTGCTTGTCTTGCCAACACAGCAGTTTCTTCCCCACACAAACAGTTCTGTTCTTGTTAGCCAGGATATAAACAGAGAGGATGCTTAGTTAATTATTTGCTTAAAGACAAAGATAGGTGCAAATTGGGCTGAACTTTTATAGCACTCAGATACATTTGTTTCATACTTGTTGTAAACCGCATAACATTATGCCACCTACACATGCAACATACATCTATATACATTGATTTATGGAGAAGCATGTCTTGCATATCCATATATGTAAATTTACAAGTAAATCAGTATTTCTTAGGCTATAATTTCGCTTGAGCTGACTAGTGAGCCAGAATCCGATATTCCAGGCAAAGTGAAAGTGAGGTCCAAGGAAAAGATGTTTTGCAGATGCACACCAGCTCTGTAAACACAGAATGACAGGTAGATCTTCAGAACATGTTTAATATTGATGGTGCTGTACAGCCTGCAGGGAGGGTGATCCACCACCTGCATAATTGTATTCTTGGTTTGCATTCTTTCACTTTTATCTTAAATCATTTATAATTGGAGTATGAGGAATATTACTCACAGCAGCAGCAACAATGTTGTGTGGGAAAATCTTGTGTTAGCAAACCAAGCAAACAATCCTTTCATGCAAAAATCCTTGTTATCTGTCAAACTTTCTTCGTTTCAGCAGCATAATTAGGGGAATAAAGAAGGTATTTTCTGCCGCTCTTGTTGACAAATGGAAATCAGAAATCCTTGCTAAGCTACTATAAATCTTGCAGAGGTTTACTAGTAATATTTCAATCTACTTTCTGCTCACTTCTGTATAGATACTGTATTATATCTTCTTCTAAGAATGAACTTATATATTGTAGATGGTCAACAAAACAGGTCTTGTGAGATATAGGTTTCACCCAATATTCTTGTTATGTTCAGTTAAATGGTAAGTTTTTATTTATTGTATTTATTTCCAAATCTAACTTCATTCAGACTGAAACAAATTATATATAAGGAAATCACTTTAAATTACTTTAGTATACATGTAAAGCAGATGCAACTACTATGTACATCATTGTGAAATTAGAGATTGTTAATATTCCTTGCTGTGTTAGCAAAACTAGTAATATTAAAACGCTAGTATTAAACATTTGAATTACTGTAACTTTGTGGTTTATAAATGGCTCTTCCATATTCCCACAGATAATAAAGGGGGTGACTTTCAGCTCTTACAAGGCAACTATCTTCTTCATGTTTCGTATACAATGAAAACGACTTTTATAAAAAAGAGAAACCCCATCTACCTGATAAATATAATAATAAAAAAACACTCTTTGCTGTCTATTCACATAGTTAATTTGTCATGTGTCTGACTAATGAAACACTTCAAAGAACTTTCAGGCATGGTTTAACCTAAAAAGCCTTTATTAGTGTAAAGGAGTGTCAGCATGGCATGGAGAATGCCAAGATCTGAATTTCCCTTCCTTTGCACATAACATTCCAGGCATTTCCCCTCCCCTATTTTGGGGTCATGATTCACATCTTCCAATTAATCTGGAGGGCAAAGATTCATTCCGTTCCCTTCAGTGGGCCTTTCTCTCCTCTCTCATTCTCATCTGAATTAACTCTAAAAGTACCAGACAGTTCTGCATATTTTGTCAAAGCAAGAATATTCAATATTAGCAGCATTGATATAATTGTTTATAGCAAGGCAAATCTTGAATCCAAGGCAACCCCTTTTCTATCTATTAATATACAATTACTTCTAGGAAATGTATTTATTATAGCCAGTTTTTTAAGAAGGAATCAGTTGTTAAATATAACAGTTTTCTCTTCAACCATCTTTGCATTTAGAACTTACACAAATTTGGTTTTCTCTTTGCTGAGTGTAGGACAAAACAGAGCTGGTTATTGCTCTTTTGGAATAAAAAGTCTTCACAGTCAAACAAGAGAAGATATATGTCAGATGGCTCACCAGTAACATTCCGGCAGTTGATATATGGGATATTTAAGGCAGATTAAGTTGTTAATGTATATTAGTATATTCTTAATTTCCTTTTAATTGAAAAAGACATATTGACTTTAATTAGAACCATTTCACAGGAACTGTCAATTAGCACATGTCAAACAAGTTAATTCAGAACAGAATTCTTTTAATTAGGGCCTGCTTTCCTTTAACTATGGGGCCAATGAAATCAGCCTTTCAATATCAAGATTTTAAAAGTCTATAAGATAGATAATACAAATGCAATCTCTTAACTATTATTAGAAGCCATATGGACAGCATTGAAACTATGATGCAGGCATTGTTGTCAAGCACAAACTGGAGCTTTCACAATAACAATGGGGAAAGAAAGAAAGCTTCAAACAAAGCTTTAGGGTGGCTGTGTCTGAGTTGCAAGAATCCAGATGATCACCAGATGGCAGCAGAGAAATACAGAAAAACTCTTTATTGCAGTCTAATGGATGTCCTGATTTTTTGCTGCCCAGATCTTGTAGCCCTTCTGTTTTAAAGACAATCAGGAAATATATGATTATACAGCAAGATTTTCCACAATGATAGTCTTCACCTGTGTTAAACTTTGAACGTGTGAGCTGGGAATTCTAGAACTGAAGTACAAGATAGATGAAGGATATCAGGGAAGGATATATGACAAATAGGTTCAAATTTATATTTGATATGAGTGCTCAAATAACCAAGTTCAGTCAAACTTGTTTTATGTTCAAACAGCCTCAAAGGAGATTGTCCAGACACAGACTGAACTCTGATCAAGAAAGGAAACAGTCCTGACATCTTTTTTAAATGCAAAAATGATAGTATCAGTAGAGTGTCAGATTGTACAACTCATGCTATTATGCACTGCAGTCTGAAAATTCTGATAAAGTGATGTTGCATTTCCTGTCCCTTTGAGACTAGAAGTATCATTACAATGATAGTCTTGCAGTCAGGCTTCTGAAATAGAAAAGCAGAAGGAATTAGTAAAAGGAGGAAATTATTTCCACACACACTCCTATCCAGTTTCTGGGTTTCACCATCATCTGTATTCTGCATCCTTTTTACTTGTACCACTGATGCAAATATGAGTATGTTCTGTACAAAGTTAAACACTTATCACATTGATTTTTGCGGAAAAGCATTAACAACTTTCTTTCTTCCATGGAATTAATGGGCCTTAAAGATTTTAAAATTTGTCTAGAATTCACCTAGGACAATATCCAACTCAATCCACATTCAATGCAAAGGCTATTCCTAATTCTGTGCTACTGTTATAATAATTCAGACTTTCTCTTTGCAAAATATTTTTTCAGAACCATTCAATCTCACTCCTTTTCCTCTTTATTTAGCTAACTGTCTCCTTTGGCTGCTATTCCAGGTTGGGCTTTTATCTTAATATTTTATTGCCCCAATGAACTATTGTCCATTTCAGTTTTCTGAATCTCTCTCTCTTTCTGAAGGTGAATTTAAAACTCCCACTAAACAAGGAATTTGATTGGTTTTTGAACTGTCATGTATAAATGGTTACAATATAAATTCTAGTGATGATATGAGGGAAGTTTCTTAATTTGTAACATTTATATTCTACTTTCCTTCCACAATAAAAGTCAAGTGGATGGTATACTATTAAATAAGTAATTGTGAGCTCTTTACCAATATGAAAGTGGTTTCATTTTTTTTTCCTGGGATTGTTTTCAAACTATCCATTGTAATGCACAGCCCTGGTATATCCCAGTTATTTTCTATCCAAGTTCTAAATCAGTCTAATATTGTTCAGTTTTTCAAGATTAGCCAGGGAGAGCAAGATATTGACACTAGTCGAGAACCATTACTAGTAAATAGTACACTAAGTTATAATTCTCTTGTATACAAACTCAATTTGTATACAAAAATTAGGTTTTTTTTTAAAGTTCATATTTCAGTTTAAGTACATGTTTACATCTTTCCTCCATTTAAATAAAAGAGATATAAATATGCAAAACTTTAATCAGGCTATTTCAAGAATAATCAAATATGTAGAAAAATGAATGAAAAATTCACATTCAGTTTTTAATCTCAAGTTTGGCTACTATTTTAAATGACTTTTATCAAAAAGGATTAGAATACTTATTAGCAGATTCCAAAGAGGATTGCCTTGTGAGTTGTTTGTATCTTGCCACACTGTTCAACATGATACGAAACTAATGATTGAATAAAGAATGCCTAGGCAGTTTAAGGAGAGGACTGTAATGATATCCAAGATTTATTTAGAAATGGTTAAATGCTGCACATGACTGTGACTTATCATTTAACAAGAATGTAATAGAAATTCATAATGTTGATGTTTAAATGGATATTCAAATAGCTTACTCCACGCTCTGTATTTGCTTCATTGACAAAACATTTTGATATGACACTAGTTTTATATAGGCTGCTGTCTTCTACTAAATCAGGTCCTTAGTTCAGCTAGGCAGATATTGTTCCATAGCACTGGTTTTCAGGCTTTGAGAAGATGTTGCCCTGAGATCTGTGTTTAATGCAACAGTTCTCCCTGTGAACCATGGTTTCTGAATGACTGAGCCACATAAAACAACTTGTGAAAA